CATGTGTAGTATATGGGACGACATTCAGTGCAGTCGACGTCAACAATATGTCATCATCACTGCTTTAGTCCATCGTATGTAATTCTACATTATGTAATTCTGAAATAAGGTACGTTTATAAAGCAGACTAAAGTAGAATGGTTATCGAAATGAATGAGACGAATCGATTAATCCAATATGGTTGTTAAACGAAAACGAATCGTGTTCATCATTCGTTGTAATGACAGTTTATGTGACTCAGTAATATTATACGTTCATATGATTTGAGCACTCTCCAAATGTTGATTAATTCCAACTCAAATGTCATCAATAATGGATTACCTCATTTGAGTGGCTCGAAAAGAAGGAATCGTAATGTTCATCTGGAAGACTACTTAACCATGCAGAATTAGCTCTTTGAAGAATACAATATGTTGCCGTAAACGATCTATTGTGATTTGATGTATGAAAAGAAATTGATTAGTTCACTTTTCATAGAAATGCACAACTACTGAACTTTGAAATGCCACCACCTCAGTCTTAGGAGAAAATGAAACGAAAACTTCGAAAGAACACGAATTTGAAATTTACCCAGTATCATTGAAGTAACCGAGAGTCAACCCAGAGACAGAAGCCATGATATCGATTTTACCAGACATAATTTCACCCTGAAAATCAAATCATAGTATTAATAATGAAGTGATTATTTGGGAAAATATTTGCACAGTGGTTAAGCTAGCTGTACACTTACAATGGACAGACGGCGTTCGAAATGTGAATGATGAGTTTCACTGCCACCATGCGATTCCAGATCAACGGCATCAAGATACTTACACCCAAAATGATGTCTCGCAAACCTCTGTATGAAAGAAAAGTTAAAGAAGAAGGAAGTTGTGAAGATTATTTTGTTTATCCTGAACATTCATACACAGACTATATTCATCAGGTTAGTTGTAGTTGACGTAATAATTACAATCTGATCGACTTCATTTGGAGATACAAATAATATTGTGCTGAAACGCAAGTCGTTGTTCAGCAGATTTATAGTAATGACTGTTACTCTGTAGTGTGCATTTGTGTTCAGTGAGAAACATACACACACGTCAGTCGACGAATGGATTGAAATGCAGATAATAACTGAAACTTACTGGAGGTAGTTAAGTGATCACAATGACTTGGTATATCTTTCTACACGGCTGCCATGGTCTATCAAAGTGAAATAATAACCTATTCACAAATACGTAGACTGATCGATGTTTTCAATAAAAATAACCAGTTTCCAATGACAAGTCTGTGATACATGTCAGTTGTTTGTGCTATTGACACCATTCATCTTAACAGTGATACAGAAATAGAACAATCCACTGTAAAGAAAATTTCCTCTGCTCGTTTGTGACAGAACTACTTCGTCAAGTGAGTAACAATAAAGCATCATATAATAAGGAGAAAAATTCAATAAGGCAATAATCTGTTTTATACATTATCAGAACAGATTAACTTACGACAACACTTGGTAATGTTAGGCCGATTCTCTTGAGACGCATCACACCCAAAATCGTACTCCATGTCCTCCACAGATACTTCACAGTATTTCTGAAAACAACGTTTCGGAAAGAAAATTGTCATTGTGTCGTGTGAAGTGTATTTTAAAAATTCGTCCATTTTATCCGATACGTAGATGGTATTCATTAGATGACGAATAATGATGCCGATATACAATCTCTCTGCTTCGATATGAATGTGTGAAATAGAATTTCCGAAATACAGTTGGTGTGTGGATTCGAATATCATGATATATCGACGAAGATATCCTGAGAACAGAGTGTGAAATCGAATGGTGAATTTTTTTCAACCATCCATTCTTTCTGGTTAATAATAAAGTAAGCTCATTGATACGGAGTAATGGGTGGTTCAGGTGCTGATCGATTCGTCAATAACATTTCAGCGATTGTACGTGAATATCGATCGACTCAGCAGAAGAAATTTCTTCATTATGCAGTAATAGATGAAAGGTTGATTACATGAAAGTGGTTTCACAACAATAAATGTCAGACGCCAGAGTTTCTTATGTGGTAAATGTGACAGTGTTGTGTTGACGAACGATATGTGAATAGAGAATTGAGTAGCGTTCATCCTAAGACTTACTGATCAGCTTCCAGTCCCTCATTGTCTTCCTCCCGTAATTCTGGTTTACCAGTTCTTGGGTTACGCGTTGTCCTAGGTTGACCGTTCTCATCACGTAGGTAAGGAAATATTGAATAAACGAAGCCCTGTCAAATAGAAACATATTTTGTCATCTGGTATAGTCAGTCAAATGAGACTCATGAATTACCAGATGCTAACGCACGTGGACTAAATCAATACAACCTAATCGATCAGGAGAATCTAAATAAATTCACTGCATTAACTCTTCCTATCATTTGTTGCAATTAGTCTACATAAGTGCAACCATGGAAAACGTTGCAATACAATTCTTGAAAATAGGTAGTTACACATTTAACGGGACGTAACCAAAATTATCAAATCATTACTTGTGGAACAAGTCAAATAAATGGTACACTTGAGAAATAACTGAAAATTTTCAATATTGAAATTGGATATGAGTGTGCTATCTGTATAATGAAGTGTGAGCTGTTGTATTCAGATGAAGACTGAAGTAATTAGGAACTAGAGGGACTAGTTTATACACTGTTAGTGTATATAACCCTAATTATTGACCAAACGACGCCTGTCTGTTTTAAAGGTCAGAAGTATTTTGCACAGTCGACTACCAATGAGTTTTTGTATCTTCTGAATGATGGATTTAGTAGTTCTCCAAGTTTCTGTTCCAAACAATAGAAATGTTTTGATATTTGCATTGAAAATACTGATTTTGGCTATGATTGATAGTTGTTTGAAGTTACAGATGTTTTTCAAATGTAGAAATTCAACCATTGTTTTGCCGATCCGCGCTCTCCCATGTTAATCGGATTCACCTTGATTTTCGATGTTGCTGCCTGAATATGTAAAGGTGTTAACATCCTCCGAAGCGTCTCCATCCACACTGATTCGGTAAGCGCATGTTGTATTGCATTGGAGGATCTCGATTGTACCTTTATGTATGTTGAGACCGTCGGACGCAGAGACTGCTGCCGCGCTGTTCGTCTTCCCTTGCATTTGTTGTTGTGTGTGCGATAGAAGAACCAGATGATCTAAGAAGTTCCGATCGTCTAGCTGCGTCCTAGCTTTCCAGTGAATGCCGTGCTTCCCTCCAAATGCTGAGGTCTTCGTTATACAGCCGATCAGAAGAAGAAGAAGAAAGTGTGAGAGTAGGCAACTTTGCGTGACACCGGTCTTAACATCGAACGAGTCTGTGAGCTGTCCTCTGTGCACAATTTTGCAGTCTCATCCGTAATAAGAATTACATATGACTTTGACTATCGTCTAAGGCACTATGTAGTGTGGGGGATTCCTCCATAGTGTAGTCATGTCCACGATGTCAAATGCTTCCTCGTAGTCAATGAAGTTGATGTAGAGTTCTGATTTCCATTCAAATGACTGTTCAACAATGATCCTTAATGATTCACTCGGGTCAGATCACGATCGAAATTGACGGAATCCTGCCTTTTGATCTCTAAGTTGGGCGTCTACGATAACCTTCATTCTGTCTGATAGGCATGCTGATCTCTTCAGTTGGTGGTGAGCTGACATCAGTCGGGGAGTTCGTGGATGCAGGTTCGACATTAAGTGGGTTGAGTGGTGCCAGTCGATTCCAGAGTTTTTTCAAGTGCTCTATACACCCGTTTTGCTGTTATTCACTGTTGCTAATTACATCTTCTTCCTTGCTTTTCACTGGTCGTTCCGGTTCACGACACGTTCCAGAGAGCTTCTTGTTTTATCATTTATTCTTCTTAATTTCCCTTTTTGCACAGCTTCTTTCACCGTCTTTACTAGGTCCAACACATATTTTCGTTTGTTGGCTCTGATGCTCTTCCTCACTTGCCTGTTTGCTTATGGATATACGGCGTGCTGCTTGTCTTACTCTGCTGTTGCTCGGCTGATGTTGATTGCTGCCTTCTATTTCCACGAATCATGAATTTTATCAAGAATAAATTGATAGAGATCCGTCGTCTTTGATTGTACTTGTGGTGCATAATGAAAAAAAAACCACAATAGTACACCTAAGCAACATGTGTCACACACAGAGCACTTATCAAGCGCCCGATGAGGTAGCAATTAGCGGAATAAAGTGGTAGACAAATGGTACATTTATTGAGCACAGATGCACACCAAAGTATTCACAGATACCAACACAACATGGATGAACAGAAAGGAATAGAAACAACAACCAGCTAACAGCAAAACAACGAAAGCCTTGAAGTCACTCAGAACAAGAGAAGCTAGTCATATTTCCTGTGGAGAAAGGACACACGAAAGTCACTAATATTTTTCTGTAATTTCGGTTGTGTTATTGTATGTAAACTTTATTCCATCAACCTCATACATATTATTCAAGCAAAATCACACATAAATTGTCGTTGATATTGTTGAAGTATCCCAAAGTATCTCTATAACTATTCACTTTTCTTCTCTTGATTAAACACATAATCATTGAACTAGTTTCCAATAAGATTCTGAGAAACATTTAACTGTGAGTTCAGTTGAATACAGTTGCAAGAAAATAATTCAATACAATCACAGCATTGTGCACACTACACAATGGACACTTCAATAATCAGTGCAATGAGATAATAGTACAAAAATAGATAAACCAAGTAATTCATAGAGGTTTCACTCACAAACGTGTGTCCTAATTCGTGAATTATTATTTGTTTGAATTTATTTGGATTGGTTTGGAGAAAATTCATGCCTGAGCAAATTGCGATCGAACCTGCAATCGGTCTTCATTGAGAAAAAGATGATACAATTCCAAGTATTAGGCATAGGATAATGTGAAGAAAAATCAATGTGAATAAACTAACAACCAACAGGCTATCGACCAAGTGGGAAGTCGATGGCACTTACCGTAACTACTTGCTTACCTATCGGTATCTGAATCTTTCTCACATACGTCAGCTGCAGCCAATCTTGAACGCGAGTTGCATTCTTCACTTGAATGAATAAAGAGAACAAAGTCACTTTTGGCTGACTTTGTGACGTTGACATTTTTCACAACATCTTTTTCAGATGTCCGACATACCTGTGTAATTAAAACGGAAGGATGAATTGAATCAATCAATCTGGAAGCAAGACACCTGAGAAGTCTTGTGCCACTCTTGCTGTCACAACCGCAAGTATATCAACATATATATGTTTGAAGTTGAGAATCAGTGTACTTTTCAAGTGAATGGTTTTCTTAGTACATGAAAACTTAAAGAGGCTGTCTAATATATCCAATGACGTCATTGCAGTTGAAGCTTTGTTTCACCGGACTGAACCTAATCAAAGTTATTTCTAGTTCCATAAAAAAATCACTGCAACCCTACCGCATTTTACAAACAGCACAAATCGTATTCGTGTTTTGAATGACATTCAGTGGTTCAGTATGCGGTATCATTCAGCGTTTCATTGGCCTCTTATGTGATCCAATACTCTTTCTTATTATTATTAGGAAGTATTGCTGGGGATGATGAAGAAATCGATTCTGTGTATGACATATGTGAAGATCGCTGAACGAGAAATCTAGTGGGAGAGTTTGAACATACAAGCGTCATCTGAATCTGCGGAACGATGACTTACAAACTACCTCCATTCCGTACTCAGTGGGAAATCATCAATGCTGATGTTCAAATGATTCGTGACTTTGGAGGCTATCATTAGCTTCATTTATTACAATGTGTTTTGTTGCTGAGTGATCCACATCTAGTTTTCATATGACAGTTATCACAAGAATTCATTCATTACAATAAGGCGACTGACCTGAAGATACTTTTCTGGAATTTCAAAACCCACACATTTTGTTACGTTAGCACAACCACTTTCACAATAATGCACACGTGGTAACTGCTTTGATTGAACTCGAGATCTACAGTTGCTAATTCATCGAAAAATGGAATATACATTAGTAAGATATACATTATGAAACACGGTCAATACAAATCGTCATATGAGGAAACACCTAAAAATTAGGTCGACATCGTTTGAGATGTTTCTTCCCAGTGTTTATGATGATTAATGAAGAGAAACACGTTAGATTTTCAAGTCTCATAGGATGAGAAACAGCGATTACGATGAGCTACAGTCTTAATCAACAAATTCTCGTGACGGTTGTCTGGGCTGATTTCCGTCTGAAACAAATTGAGGGAGGAACATCAATGTATAAGTGAGAGCTGCTATTGACGTACTTCGGAGCTGATTCTACGTTTCGACTGTCAGTGATTGGTGAACCACTTGACCAGGTTGACGACTGGAAATAATCTTCGACGTTCTTTTAAACTACGTTGGAGGATATTTGACGATGATTCACTACACCTCATCCAGTTGTTCGACTGTATGCAATAATGCGAGTAGTCTATTCAACTATTCGCATTTTAGTGCTTTAAATTAGTCAACAGGTTTTTCAGATTTCAAAATATCTGTGACAAAGTAGGAACTTGCAGCTCAAATAATTTTAAATTTAAGTCTGATTATAACCATATTTGACTGGACATTGATGAAATGGTTGTTTGTTCAGCTTCCAACGATTGTTTCTACAGCTTCGAAAAGGTGTTTCAAAACATCATTCGTATTCTTCTTTACCTAACCCATTTTCAATGATCCGACATGTCGGAGATGGTCAAACCGATTGTTGGATAAGTTTCACTCATTCACTGTAGCGTAAGTCATTATTGTGGAATGATTTTACAGTATTTAACGACCGTGTCCATTTCATCATGAAGTGAGAACACTGGTAGACTATTAGTTCATTGAAGTATGAGAACAAACAAAGATCTAGTGGTTTATTCCGTGAACAAACATCACCTCGATTGCCAGTCATCTAATATCAATATTGAATATGTAGTAGGATAAGTTAACTAAAATATTCAATCAATTTGTATGATTGTCAGTAAACCTACCGTTCGATTAATATCTGTTTGGTAGATCTTATCTTCGGTTGCAATGTCCTTGTCCAGAATGTCACAGCATCTTTCACCTGTTTCTGTAATTCACAAACACAGTGTCCCAATCAAACAGAACATGAATAAATCGTTTGATTTCGAATATTGTGAAATATTTGAAAATTGTTAGTTCTAGTGAATTGTTCAATATTGTGAACCGATGAATAATACGAGAGAGTAATGAGTGATAGAGTTTGTTGTTTCGCAAGTGTCTAATTGCTCTCATTTATATTTGAGTTGTTTTCGTCGGAATCAAGTTGAATGATGTAACTAGTGATATGAATGAGACACACATTGTTTTCTGAAGACAACAACATTCTTGCAGGATACCGTATGGTTTCTGTGATATCAAAATATAGTGCTGTACCGAAATTCGTTTCACCTCTAATCGTGCATTTCACTTGAGTCTTTTGTTCCAGCGAAATGATCATATCTGTCTGAAAAGCTGATTACAGTTAGCTACAAAATACCCATTTTCAAGTAGTTTGCGATTCTTTGGTATGAAATATGATCTCCTATCTGTCGGAAGATTATCATACCAGTATATTGGTGTGCATTCTCTAATCATAGTCGAAATGCACATAAAGATGATCTTCCATGCTACATTGTGAACTGCTTTGTTCGTTGTAGCGATTGTAAACTTATTCCACATTAACCTTCTGTCCATGAATGTTCGTACTGTTTTCACTGAAAATCAAGTGTGTCACTCAACCTAAGTTATTTTGAAGACGGGAGTTTAAACAGGCGCATTCTGTATTGCAACATTTCTATTTAATATAATGAGTTATATTTGTGGAATTCAGTAATTGTCATATATTTCCCGTATGTGCATATAAATGAAAAGAACTATGAAAAATAATAGCGAACGACAAATTAAAGCTACATTGTTGAAAATTGGTGACATTGAGAAATTACGAAACGTGTATGATTTGACAGGAATGCAATAAGTATAATTTACTAACCTTGAATACATGGAATAATATAAGATTTTCTAAATCTTCACTCAAAACCACTTGAACACGGAATTTTTCACCAACGATAAATTCACCTTTTCGGCGTATAGTACGTTTATCATTGTCAACGTTATTCTGAAAACAGTTGTAGTATTATATATGGAAAACGACATCAAATTACTGAAGAGTGTTGTACAGTCAAATTTTCGACCAATCTGTCATTGAAAATAGTCAAATACCAAAAAACGAATAGTAATGACATGTTTACAAATAAGCACAAGATAAACGGATTCCAATGATCTGTTGAGAAGAATACACTTTCTGAGCAATTTATATAGAATTCACAGGTGATGCAGTAAACAGAATAAGAAGTTTTTAATCATACCACAGGCTAATATGTCAGTACATAACTCTAATCTGATTCAAGTGCTTAGCTTCAATTACAACAAATAAGATTATTTTTATCAGTGTCTATTATTATCAAATGTCTATTTCACCAATACCAAGTTGAAGCCTAATCATCATCATGAACAAATGAGATTGAGATGAAGGTAATTGCCATAATTTATTACGAGAAAAAGACTGTGCTAAATATCAGCTAATAATATCAATAAATGAATCAATAGCAACGTAGATCTTCGCACATACGGACGTGATTCAGTTCATGTTGCCATACCACAACAGCACAGATGTGTAATTGTCAGTTCAAATCCCTATAGTAGCGAAGGTAGTAAGGGTATTAGCAATATTATGAGATATAAAAATTAGAGGATATCATTCAAGAAGTAGAAACTAGTGAAATAGACTTAAAAAGATAAACATAAAGTGATGAGGAATTAAAATGTTTGAGATTTGAGAGAACACAAGGAACGAATGCACCTGCGACATTGCAAACTTTTTGAGGCATGTTATTCATGTCTGTAACCACTGAGAACAATAATCTCGCGGACCCCAAACAGGTAATCGACACGTGCCTAAATAACACAGTCTTCTTATCAGTGACTTCATGGATTTATGCCATGCTTTGTTCTGGCAGCCCATGACTTTCGTCAAACCTATTACTACACAGTAAAATATAGGTGGACGAAGCAGACGATTGATAGGCACATGTAACCCACGTTCGAACCATCTCAAGCTATTAATATGGATGAAAGCATAGTAATTTACATGGAATCATATTAGTAATATGCATGTATAAGTAATTATATAATTTACCGCTTGTTTGCTGCTCTGACAACAACGAACGCCATCCACAGAATTCATCTTCAAATGATCACTCAATCCCATCTGACTAGTTTCTCAATACGTATCTGACATTGCGAATTCATTTATCGCTTTGCAAGTACTTACATGGAACGCTAACATGAATCCCTGAGATTCAGTCTTCCAATATAAACACCGTAAATTTAGACTAGTTAGTTAACTCAAGTTTCTTGAATAGGAAACTGAATAGTTCATATGTCACTTTTAACAAATTTTAGAAAAATGCAATCTCTATTGCGGTTCAATTTTTACAGTTGCTTTCACTTTGAACGAAATATCAGCCAAATATAAGTAAAATAAGTCAAATAACGCACTAGATTATTGGCATCGCAACAGCAGCTTATCATTATTCTCTCAAACATGACTTCCTCATATTTATGTTGACACTCTCATAAGGTGCCCGATGATTGGTAATAGAAATGCAAAACTTCCCATCATAGACAATAGTTCACGTACATTTGTACTAATTACATAGTTGAATTTTATGACTTAATGCTATTAACTAATGATGTTTCATATTCTCACATGCTGATTTTGTTATGTGAGATGGACACTAAGCTCTACTTGCACATTCGCATCATTTCACACTGACATATATTGATGTGTGTGCTGAAAAATATTCCATTCATGAAATCATTGTTTCATGAGAATCTATTGTTTGAATGGCTTGATCATAACGTCGAAATTCCTGAAAATGCTTTTTATGAAAACAAACATACTTGCTTACTTTCAGCACTTGAAAGCGGGTTATTGCGCAATTCATTCAAAATTTGTCAAATATTTTTCATACGTTTTAAAATCTGACACTGATTGATAATGCATTGATAAAACATTATCGAAATGATGCGTTTTTGCTTTCAAGTATATTTTTGTAGAAATTAACGACA